TTACACTGCTCATGCACTCTTCTTGACCTCATTTTCTACCCTTCTCATTACATGTCCCTGTGGATTCTCTGGCAGGCTTCCTGTTCCTGTTGCATATGAAGAAAGATTGGGGCTTAGTTTTGATTTTCTTTACCAGTCTTTTTTAAATCCTTCTTTTTTTTTTGTCTTCTTTGATATGTTTATGTCCTCCTTTTTTCATGATTTAGACAAAGCAGGGTTTTTCAAGGATGTCTGTATACATTACACTTTATAGATGAAGAAAAATGGATGGTATTTCAAGTGTTTCATGCCATATGAGGCTGACGTACTTTATTTCTTGTACACAGGACTAAAATATGCTCCAGAAAGATGATGTTGGCAGCATACCAGTTAAGTTATTACCAGCCTATCTGTAAATAGATCTTGCAGGGACTGAACAGTGTGCTGTTTGCTCTTCTTGATATGTGTTACAATGTTCAGTATTAGAATCGTAGAATCATAGAATAGTTAGTGTTAGAAAGGACCTTAAGATCATCTAGTTTCAACCCCCTGCCATGAGCAGGCACACTTCACACTAAACCATGTCACCCAATGCTCTGTCCAACCTGGACTTGAACACCACCAGGGATGGAGTATTCACAACCTCCCTGGGCAACCCATTCCAGTGCCTCACCACCCTAACAGTAAAAAACTTCTTCCTTGTATCCAATCTAAACTTCCCCTGCTTAAGTTTTAACCTGTTACCCCTTGTCCTATCACTACAGTCCCTAATGAAGAGTCCCTCCCCACCATCCTTATAAGCCCATCTTTGTTATTACAGAAAATGAGCAATATCAGAAAAATGTTCCATCCATTCAACATGAAATGATCCAGCATCCTCTACCAACTGCACTACTAGCTGCTTGTTTCTAGCAAATATTCTGAGAAATACCACTACTTACAAACCTAAAAGTTGCATAGGGGGATATGACTTGGAAGAGAGGAAAGCGGTGTAGGCAAATTCACCAAAAGTATCCAAAATCTGAGACATACACGATACTATTCAAAGAAACATTAGCTTTTTAAAAGAAAATATTTCTTCAGAGTAGGTTTGAATGTGTTGTGGGGAAGAATTTCTCAGATTACAATAGAATTTCCTGAGAAGATCACAAGCTACCAAATAGCTGGGGTCTGTTGAGGCTATTTGCTTAAGTGAAATGGATGCCCTGGCACTGGCCCCACATCTGCCTGTTTTAGATAAAAAAAACCACCAGACAATAAAACAGGTATTGCAGTGTGGGGTGGATTGTTTGTACTTCATCTGAGGTGAGGTCATGACTGAGAAAGTACTTGCAGTCCTCAAGTGTTATGCAAATGTCAAGTGGAACTGTAGAAGAGAAACAAGTAATTATGTATTACTCATTCTTCTGGAAAATCCAAGGCTTCACTACTGAAAGGTGTTGTTTCCACTGAACTTCCTGCTGTTTCTCTGACAGAAAGGAAAACAGGCGCGATTTAGATCATGAACCTAAACAATTCTATGATTCTGCATGGCAAATGGATATTCTTTGTTGTGTTTCTTTTCTAATCTGTGACTGCATCTAGTGTCTAGATTCTGCACATACAGCTATACTGGGCATTCTGGGACAGCCTCGGGAAATCTGAGGTGCTCTATGCAAGCTAGCTGGAGTATCGGAGGTAGGCTGGTCACATCATAGAATTCTCTGTTGTGAGTCTAGTGTACACGCAAAACACAGAATTCAACTGCTCCCAGAAAGTGAGTGGGATTAAGTGTTAGTCTGAAACATTGCCGTGCTGTGTATGTGTGCCCAGTGTAAAAGAGAAGAGGAGGACAGGTGCATTTGATGGGATAAAATGGATTGGCAACTTCATCTTTATTTGATGAAAGAAAACTAAGTTATGAAAAACACGTTTCCAATGCAATGCATGCCTCTGACTCATCTAGAGAAAGAATGGAGGGAAAAATTATATGCACATATAAGATTTCTTCATAAGAGTGTGCAAATGCAGTAACATTCTGAAGTCTGGACTGAATTAGTTGAAGACATCTTGATTCTGTGCTGTTCATGCATGCAACATGACTCTATTTTGAAAACCAAGTATGTATGTGATACTTAAGTCTGTATTTGCATGGCTTTGGTCTTTGCAAATTTGCATTTGGCACTGTTCCTCATTTCATCAATTTTCTAGCCAAACTGTGATCTCCAATTACATCTTTCATCCTGTCAGTACGAAGCAGAGCTAGTCTAAAGTCAACAGATTAGTTTACATGACATCTGGTATTAATGTACCTTCTGCGTCTTCTAACAGCAGCTTAGTTTGACGTTCATTATCTTCCTCATGTTAAATTCTGATCTTTGTGTTTGCAGATGATTAATCACCTCCTGCTCCTAGCTTCTTTATGAGACAACCCCAAATTTCTCCTTTCTTCCAAAAGCAGCTAGAACAATTTTTTCATTGCACTGTGGTCTTCTTAATGTGATGTGCATAAAGGTGTGAGCTTACTTTTTTATCACGACACTGCTACAATGCAAAGAAGTCCTTTGGGATCAATAATTTCACTGAAGTAATGAATCCAATAGCTTGTTTCCAGAAAAATGTGTGCACTTTAATTAATATGAGCATGATGTCTTCTAACTTTTCAGTTTTAAAATATTTTATCTTTTTTCTTTTCCATGTCTATGTATCAACAAGAAAGCCCTCTTATGCTCATGCTAAAGGCATGCTGCCCTTAAGTAAGGATGAGCTTCTGGATAAGTTTCATAGAAACATAGACCCATAAAATGGTTTGGGTTAGAAAAGGACCTTAAGATCATTTAGTTCCAACCCAGATGCTTCACACAATGTTGCCCAAGGCTCTGTTCAACCTGGCCTTGAACACTGCCAGGGATGGGGCATTTACCACTTGTTTGGGCAGCCTGTTCCAGTGCCTCACCACCCTCACAGTAAAGAACTTCTTCTTTACATCTAACCTGAACTTTCCCTGTTGAAGTTTGAGCCCATTACCCCTTGTCCTATTGCTACTGTCCCTCATGAAGAGTCCCTCTCCAGCACCCTTGTAGGCCCCCTTCAGACACTGTGAGACTGCTGTGAGGTCGCCATGCAGCTTCTCTTCTCAAGGCTGAACAGCCCCAGCATTCTTTTTACGACTGCAGCAGAGCCTTGGAATTAAATGCTATTTCTTTTTCACTCCTTAATTATTGTTTGCCTGTTATTTAATACCTGTTAAAGTAAAACATGGGGCATTTCAAAGCTGCAAATACAAACATGTCTGCGACGCATTCTTAGCTGTCTTCTGCCCTCGTTACAATTAATGGAGCAGCTTTCTTCACAGTGGGACTGCCCTGTTTGCACACCACTTGCTTGCTGTGCAGAGTTGTCACTTCAGTGTCAGGACATTCTGAAAAGCTTTCTGCAATAGTACAAAGTAACGCACTAAGTAAGAATAGGCAGACTCAGTGGGAATAGTGGGAAAACTGTCCTAGGTGTTCCAGCCGCACCCAGGGCAATGTTTTTTATGTCCTAACTTGGTCAGCAGAAAGCTTCCGGGAAAGATGGGCAGGTAAGGTGGTTAGGCATAGGTAGTTTAGGTCATCACCTGTGCTGACGGAAAGAATAATCACTGTACGGCTGACTCATCAGCAAGAGCATATTACATCATGAGAAGTAAAATTGATAGATTTTGGCTTTCAACAGTCCCACATCCATTTGTACCACATCACTATAATAGTCCTTATTTCCTTCTCATGCCCCTTACCACAAAAATAACTTCAGGTTCACTCTGCATTGTCTAACACCTTTTTCAGTGCTCCTAGCTCTCTTTCATGTCCCTAAATATTCCTACAGTACACTCAGCTTCCTCTTTCCACTCATTACCTGTTTGTCTGAGGAAGAGGAAGAGAAAGGGAAATTGCCTGTTACTTCCCCTAGGTTGCCTATTTAGGGATTGGCTTCCTTATTTTGAAGGGTTTTGGTGGTTTTGTTGTTGTGTTGTTTTGTTTTGTCTTCTTTTCTTATATATGCATGAATGCAGCCCCCACTACTATAGGTTATTTAATCTTCTGTGTTCAGGCTGTATTACCAAGAGTGTAGCCAACATGTCAAGGAATCCATTTCTGATTTGTTCAGCAGTTGTAAGACTACAGATGAAATTCTGTGTCCAGATTTCATTCTCCATCCTTCAAGATACTCAAAACGTGACTGGACAAGCTTTGAAGCTAGCCCTGCTTGAAAGGAGAGATAGGACCAAATAATGCCAGGAGGTCCCTTTCTATCTGAGTTATTTTATGATTCTATATCTTCATGATTCTGAAACTTCTCCTCAGATTTACTAAATACTCACAGACAGGGTTGCAAGTTGCTTGACGGGGAAAGCAAGCATGCAGGGGAAAAGCAAGACTGTCAGATAAGTGAACAAATGAAGAAATGCTGTTAGATTCCTTCCCCTAGAGATATGCTCATCCTGACCACTGGCAAAAATGTTATTAACTAGCCAACAGCATTCCTTGCTGAATGTTACTATGTGCAGTAAGAAATTCGGATTATGATCAGGAATTTCCTTCTGTGCAATACTGAATGAAGCTATAGTCTGATGCTGTATGATAACTGCCCAGGCCTCTATGCAGGCATACATTAGCAGTGTGTTATGATTCCTTCTGTTTTGTGAGATGTATCTACAGGAGATCTTCACAGAACAAGGAAATACTGAAACAGTGGCAAATACTAACAACAGGTTAAAACATTAAGGAACAGCCAATGACAATGATAATCAGAGAGGTAGGCTTCAATAAAGCATTCAGATGAGCAGGAACCGGTTTGTCTTGCAATGCCTCACAGAACTATGTGAAATATGAGACCTTTCCTAAGCTGTTGTTACAGAGTTCAAGGGGTGTGAGAACAGACGGCAGAGAGGAAGATGAATCTATGCAAATTTTATGTAGATATCTTTTGTTAGAATATGACTGAACCATGGAGGAGGAGCACCATCTCAGACCAGTTTAAAAGCCAGAAGATGGGCTGTCCACTTGAGATCTCTCTCTCTTCTTTCTTCACGGACAAAGATGTGGTCAAGGCTGCTTCTGAGCATTCTGTCCTTGAACTGGATTGCCACGGTGTCTTCTGAACTGTAAGAGATCATACATTCTTTTTTTTTATGACAGTATATTTTAATGTATTTCCCACTAGTTTATTTCTTCTAGGACACTGCTATATAATGAACTGGATGCTTGAGACCTTGGTTCTGAAATGTGTCTGAAGTGGTAGTAGATGGCATTGAAGGATGATTTGGAATGATGCTCTCCATCATAAAACTCTTAAATCTGATTTGAATGACAGAAACCTAGAACTGGAATAGTTGCAGTCTTAAGTGAATGGGTAAAGTGGAGAGGAGGTTCAGGACTAGACTGTAAGTGATACTAATGATCAGGATTGATATGCATCAGAAGTACAGAGAGAGCAAGTTGTATGAGAAGGTGCTACAGGCCAGATAATGGCTGGTATTAGGGACTATGCTGACTGGCAATCCTAATATTAGTATTAATGTAAGAATGAGTATGAAGTATTAGTATTACACCTGCTGTGCTTATGCAGCACTGTCAATGTCCATGGCTCTATACAAACAGTTTTCAGCCACAATATTCAAAAATAGGTCAACATTAGAGCTTAAATCCATTTCTCAAAAGTTTTAAAGGAAAACACTGAAAGTCAGAGGGGTTTAGGTTTCTCAGATACACTGTTCATTTCAGTCATTTTACTTTCGGTATTTGAATATAGTGCAGTCTGAACTGGGCAAGTCAAAGTAACAATAAAGGCAATATACGCAAGCAAAGCTGTGGGAGGAAAAAAAAAAGAAAAGAAAGGATTCGATTGCTAAGAAAAGATTGTGTGATTCATGTTGTGTTGCTGCACAGCCAACCCATCAATTCTGTCATACATTATTTGAAATGACTAGTTTGGGCAGCAGAGAACCAGCAGCCAGCAACAGAACCTTTATCAAATCTGACAAATCTAAAGGAATGTTTTTCAGAGGAAGAATCTGAGGAAGGAAGGCTGCCCTAATTACAGAGAGCAGTATAAGTAAAAAAGCCCAGTAGAAGAAAGAAGCAAAGGAAGCAATGCAGGGAGAGTCATGGTGACAGAATGCAGCATATAGGTTAGATTGAGCATTCTCTGAAATGTTCTGCAGAATGGAAAAGCAAGATGATTTCTTGGTGCATTATGCTCATTGACTTATCAGATGTCAGTTGTTATTTGGAAGGAAAGATGTCTAGAGAAAAAGAAAAAAAATTGTTGCAACCATTAGCTAGTATTTTTGTTATTGATTTCAAGAAGAAGCTAAGCATTACTCCTCCTTATGGGAGGTTCCAGAGGTTTAAGTATACATATAGGTCATGGGAGGATAAATGCAGGTGTTGTCAGATGCTTGTCAGGTGTTTAGACACTTTAAGTGATTGGAGTTGTGTGAATACCTGGAATGGAAAGCTGCAGTATCATGCTGGGTAAGAGACCGCATATAATGATGCCCGTCCTTCAGCTCAGAAAGAACTATGAGGGACAAAATATTATCACCTGTACTTTCTTAGCATATTATTCAAAACTTGTTGAAAGTAACAGAATTCCTTCCAATTACTTGGAATTGGAGTTACTTCCAATCCAAGCAAGATTTGGATTGCGTCTTTGTTCACACATATGGCATTTCTGTGGCATTTGCCCCTCCTGTTTGCTCTGACTTTCCTCCATGACTGAAATTTCTGATCTGGTTTTGCTTTCTTACAGTCAGTATGTACTACTGGTCCCAACAGTAGTGCGGAGCGACTCTCCGCAGACCGCTTGTGTGCAGTTCCACAACCTCAGTGAGCCTCTGTCTCTGAGCATTGTCCTGGAATATGGCAGTATGCGGAATACTCTTTTTGAGAAATCAGTGACAGAGAATGATTTCTTCCAGTGCTGCGAGTTCAAGGTATTTTCTCTTTTGAAACTACTGAAAAGAGTGTAGAAGCTGGAAACACTTCTGAGTGCAACTCTCCTTGTCAGTGTGGGCAGAAGATGAAGAGTGTGGGCAGGGAATAGGATGAAAAAATATAAGTGCCTGGAAAGGCTGACAATATAGCCAAGAAAGACATATGCGTTCTAGGGGGAAGCTGGAGAAAGACTTTCCATCTCCATTCACAGAGAGACTAGGAAAAAGCTTGTGGTTGCTATCACAGGTCCATTCACCCTATGAGACTGTCAGAATTGCCAAGCTGGAGATCTCAGCTAGGACATGTTCATTCTGTTTCCTGTGGCTCTGCAAGATCTGTACAGATATGACAAGCAAGTTCCAAGGTTGGGTCTTCCAGAATGTAGCAGGAGAAAACATTTCAGAACTGAGATACATGGTTGGGGCAACCTGCATATTGGCATGAGAGGAAATGCATAGTACAGGTCACAGCTTAATTGGTGACAGATCATGGGACTTCCACAACAGAAATTTCCAGCGACTACCTCACTTTCAAAGATTGATCTTCTCATGACTTTGCATAAGCTATTTATGATTCACTTGACAGTCAGTACCTTACTCAAGAACCCTGAGCAACAGGGGACCTCAATATATGTAATTTACCAGTTTTCCTCATGTTTTTTTTTTCCCTCCAGGTTCCTCCTGCTGCTTCTGACCCCCTAGCATTCATTTCCTTCACTGCCAAAGGCACCACAGTCAATTTAGCTGAGAGAAGATCGGTGGCGATTCAGAATGTGGATAATACTGTCTTCATCCAGACGGACAAACCTATCTACAAACCAGGGCAAAAAGGTAGTTGAGGAGTTTGAGTCAGCTAGTGAACTGCGAAACTGGTTGCAAGGGTGGGTCTAGAATGACAAAGACTTCCTTTTGTGGAATAAAAGCCCATGGACTGCAACAGCGATGATCCATCCCTCAGATATTGTATAGTTGTCATCTGAGTTTGGACTCATCAAAAGTCAGTGAAAACTAGAACCAATTCACAAAATCACAACAAATGAGTAGACTTCATGTGCTTTTACTGAGTTCATTACATTTACAGGATCTTGAGTTCTGCCAGGTTTACTGAGGTCAGTCACATAAAAAGTGTCCTTCAAAATACAGAAAATAATATGTTAAGCTTGGAATTAATAAGTGTGATATAAAAATAAAGGAAGCATGTAATTTCCTGTCAATAGATCTTGCCATTTAATTGCTAATCTAATTCAGAGTGCTGATTCCATCATGATATTTAAATGATAGTACTAGCTAAGATAATCAAATCTCTTCTGGTTCTCTAGGGACTCTTTAGTTTGCCTAAGAGCCTGAGCAAACTTTGTTTCAGTTGTATGTTGAAAGTAACTTAACACTGCTAAAGAATCCTTTTTTGTCCTGTATCTTTTTCAGTGATGTTTCGTGTGGTCAGTTTGGACACTCAGTTCAGACCTGTTCAGGAGACAGTAAGTATGAGTGATGGTCAAGATTTTTCAAGCACCCTCTTGAGATAGCTGTTCACTAAGACTCTCAATTAGAAGTTGAATAAAAAGGGTCTGGGAAAGGCTTCCTGATGTTTCTGGAGAAATACTATGATTCCTTCACTTCACACTCCATCCTTTCCCTGCCTTTATAGAGGGCAAAGGGTCTGAAAGCACTCCTGGAAATCTCTCACAGCACTCAGATTTTGTAGTCACTTTGCCTGTCCCACGTATGTAGAAAAAGACTGGATGTTTTTGTAGGAAAGAGAAATTCACAAACAGGTTATCCTCTTTAAGTTATCTCTGTAAATAAAGACATGACTTGAAATTATTTCCTTGGCCCAGTGTTCTGTAGCCAGAGAAAACAGTTCACAGCCTTCTTTATGTTCTAATATTTCTCAAGCTCCACAGCTAATTTCTTGGTGTTCTGATTTTTATTTTTTTTCTCCCTTTTTTCCTCCTCCAGTATCCCCGGATCACTGTTCAGGTAAGAGATGCACTGTGTTGCTTTGGAAGGACTGTGCTTCATTATTCCCCATAGTGTCAGTAGCTGAAGGAGACTCATCCAGAGCATACCATCAAAAGCCAATGAACTTGAGATTGAACAGTGACAGTATTTGTTATCAAACACTAGAGGAGAAGAAATCAGTACAAATGGAGATGTTAGTTGGAGATGGCATGCTGATGTTGCTGGGTTTTTCATTAGAATTCAAATAAGTTTAGTGTAGTATTCCTTTGGCAGGACTAAAGGTGTAGTACTCCCATGGCAGGGAGGTTGGAACTAGATGATCTTTAGGTCCTTTCCAACCCTAACTATTCTATGATTCTATGACTACAGGAAATGGTCTGGTGAAATAGTGTCATTCTCATACAAGTTACAATAGTAACTCCCTGAAATGTCATGTTCTGCTGAGGAACAGGCTAGCAGTGAACCAGTCTTCTACCACATTTCACATTGCACTTTCTAAAGGAGGCCCTCGTAATATTCCTGTTTTACAGGAGTTGAGGCAGGAAGACTTACGCTAGGGATGCTTCAGATAAGCAACCTGACTCCCAACCAAGTACTATTCCTAGATGATCTGAGATCATCTTGCAGTGTACCTAGTTTCCAGCCAGGGAAATTCAGAGCACATCATGCACTTAGGCAATGTGCTAGGATACAAAACTGGAAAGAAGGCAAGAAAACAAGAAAAAGGGTACATCTCTTCCACTCTCCAGGATCCAGAACGAAACAAGATCATCCAGTGGTTGGAGGTCTCATCTAAGCATGGAATTGTCCAGCTCTCCTTTCCACTAATTCCAGAGCCTATTCTGGGATCCTATCACATCACTGTGGAGAAAAAGTCAGGTGAAAAAGAGGACCAGTTCTTCACGGTGGAAGAATATGGTAAGCAAAGGCTGTAAACTGCCCTGCACCAGTGGTGAGGCTTGCTCTGCATAACTCAGGTAGGAGCTGCTTGTGAAAAGTTTAAGTGCTTTGAATTCTCGGCTTGACACAAAATCACTGTGTGACTTTGGGATCCACATCCTATGACTCAGGACTTACACTCCCCATCTGAAAGGAGTAGTCAGGCCTGCCTGTTTTTTGTTGGGGTCATCACCATGTGAAAAGCAGTAGGCTAAGATATGCAGAGAAATCTGAAGATGTTATCTGTCAAGCAGATATGTCATGACAGGTACTGGGTTGTTACTCATGGGGCTGGATAGTCAGTGAAAATGCAAGACGGAAAATAGTGGGTATTTGAGGTGCCAAAGCTCACTTAATGATCTGCTTACTCTCTGGAATAGCCCGTATGAAAAAAGTTCCTAGATTTGTTTTGATCTTACAAGTTTTCTCATCTTATACTGGCAGGTTTTCCTTAGTAGTTCCCAGAGTAGGCTTGGACAACTCCCAGTTGTTTGCGTTTTTTTGTAGGAGCAGTAAAGCACCTTTCCTGTTTACCCTTTAGAGCTCTTTCATGTCTTCCAGTCCCCTGTGTACAGGTTTGTGATAATAAGGCCTTTTCCAGCTATGTAGTCATTATTGCTGGTGACCCAGGACAGAAGATAAGCTGGAAAAAGAGAGTGACAGTGACCTATTTGATTTTACTATTTCACTTAATCTGTTTCCTTTTTATTCAATGGGGTTTGATTGCATAACTTCTCTTCTTCAGGGCTTAACTGGATTAAGATATCAGCATTACTTCCACCTTTCTTTTGAATAAAATGTAAAGCCAGTTAGTGACTTCTCACAATTCTTACTGTGCCTGCAATTATTATTACTATGATTATTATCCTACAGCCAGCTCCTAGGTAGACTTTTCTTTGAACTTTTTCCTCTCCCTTCTTGATGAAAATGCCTTTGCCAACTGATTCAGGTTTTTTCCTGTCTTCCACACATTACACCTGCCTCTGGCATATAACTACTGATCAGTCATATTCACATTGCATTTCCAGTGCTGCCAAAATTTGAAGTGACAACCAGTGTGCCAAAGAGGATTTCTTTCTTTGATGAAGAAATTAGGTTCAATGTTTGTGCTTCGTAAGTATCAGAGCTGAGAACAACACATCTGTGCACAGGAAATGTGGCATAGAGGATGGTGTGCATGCTGGGAAGCAGGGCCCCTGCTGCTGCTGATTCCATGTATGGGTTATGGCAGTTCCTTTAGCTGTGACTTTCATGACATGAAATATAAGTCTCTTCCCACTACACAGCAAAATTAGAACTCAGGGAGTTTATGTGTGTCTGGTAGTTTAAAGATAGCAAGCAGTACATACTTGCTAGCTGTTGTTTTTTATTATTACGGAAAAAGAGAGAAATAGTACCAGGGTGTGTCATTAACATTGATGGCTGTGATACAGCCAAAGGGCAGGGTGGCATGAGCTAAATGGGAGAATAAGGATCTTTCTGCAATATGTCCTACTTTGCATAAGGCACTAACAAGAAAAAGCAAGCAGCAGGGAATGAATATCTCAACCTGAATACAGCACCGCTTTCCAGCTTCAGACCTTGAAGAATGACTACAGCAAAACAATGGTAAAACAGGCTTTTTTAACAAGATGGCCAGAAACAGCCTAAAAGTACTCAAAGGGAATTCTGCTAGTGCTAACTGGTCCTAATTCCCGCCTGCTCTTCTGTCTTGCTATGGGCACTCCTGAGGGGTTTAGAGTCTGCATTACTCTGCAATCTTTGCAGATTTCATGCTAAGTCCACATGATTGGATTCTTATGTCTTTTCCTCTCCTAGGTACACTTACAACCAACCAGTGCAAGGGAATGCCCGAATCAATGTGTGTCAGCAGCACTTTTATAGTCCACGATGTGAGCAAAACCAGAAAGAAACCTGTGAAGCAGTCACTGGACTGGTATGATTCAGGGCAAGGCTTTTCTTCCCAGTCAGCTTTACTACCCAACATGTAGCAGAGTATTTGGTGGCTTCATTCATTTCCTGGGGAACACCAAAGAGACAATCTCAGAGGCATGCTTTTTCTCACTGTCTCACAGGCAGTGCTGAAAGACCATGAAAGTAGTTTTTACTGATGACATTATTAGGAGACTTTGATTCTTCCCTCAGAAGAGTCACTAGAGGAGATGGAAGCTTATGGAAATCTAAATCTGTGGTAATTTCTAAAACACTGGAGCTGTGTTCTTACCAAATCTAACCAGCAGACCTATACTGGGAGTCTCTGAGGACACTTAATGCTAAACTAATGATTAATTTCTGCACTAGATCAAAATGCTCTGATCAGAATCCAGGCATCATGCAAGATGGGTTTAAGAAGGAGCATGAGCATAAGAAAGGACTAGGGGGAATGAGGAGAGAGGCTTGCAGGTGCAAAGGTAAATGGTATTGAAACAGTGTAGGAAGGGAGCCAGTGTAATGTAGGAAGGGAGCAAGTAGAAAGGAAGACCTGAAGAAGATTTGAGCAGAGACAATGAGGCTCTTCAGAGACCCACTAATACACAGTCAGAAGTAATTTTCCAAACCTTGATAAAAATGGGGTTTCCCTTTGTGTTCTGTTTCCAGCTGGGGAAGGACGGCTGCCTCAACACTGTAATCTCCATCAAAACATTCCAGCTCTACCGCAGCTATGCCAGGATGTATACCAGCCTCAATGTAGAAAGCATTGTCACTGAAAATGGGACAGGTAATACCAAGTGAAGGTTGTGAGTAGCTGATTAAAGCTAACAGGTGGTACTTTCTGAGAGGAATCTCCTGGATCCTGATCTGTGCAGCAAACAATCACCATTTTCTGCATAGCTCTCCCTCCAGAGCATCACTGCTCCATATAGCTTTTCAAAGAAAACAGTTTTCGGGCCAGTCTGATTTCTGTTTCCTCCCCTTTATACTGTCTGTGTCTCACAGGTATCCAGATGAAAAGCAATGATTATGTTGCAGTCAACCAAGAAAACGACAGAGTGATGTTTAAGAATATGGATTTCTATTACAAGAGGGGAATTCCTTACTATGGTGAGGTGAGTGCCTGGAAGAACACATTTAAACCAAAACTCCCCGAGGTCCAGCATGATGGTCCCTGTGTTGCCCTATTTATGGATATCTCTTGACTCTATGCTGACAACTTGGCATGATAATGCTGCATAACAGTGACTGCTGCATAATTCTCCTGCTACATTAGATGCTCCTAGAGAAAATAAGAACATGGTATCATACCTAGACTGTTAGGGTCTCTCTTCTGCCATACTTAGAGAGTGCCTAAAAGGTGGGTAGGTGAAAGGTCAGATGAGCCTTTAACTTTGTCTGCAAGAAACTACTTCAGCAACAGCTATGCCTAAACTGAAGGTAGAATTTTCCCTGTGTTGTATCACACAGTCCCAGGGATGCTTACTTAAAGCAGCAAAGTAAAAGGTGTTGAAGCGTATTCCGACTTCTTAGCAGCCTGCACATGCAGGAAAATCCCAGGCACAGAAAGGAGGAGGAGCTGTACAGCATCATCCTGATATGAGGTTGAGACAAAGGATATTAACAAGTGCCTAGGAACTGCGAGGTGCTCCTGAGCTCCACAGGTTACCTGTGGCCGTGAAGTCATCTAATTGCTTTAGGTTTGTTAATCAGTGCTCTCCAGAGAGTATGAACTCTGGAGTCCCTCTGTTTCTCTTTGCTCAGAAAGAGTGAGGATGATAAGAGTTCCATCCACTCAATGGTCTTTATCTTACGTGAAGGCCCACAGAACTAATGGTCAGAGAAGAGAAGGAGTATTTATCATTAAAAGAATTTGTTATATGAGATCATGTATGTATACAGTTCCTTCTCCCACTGTTACATATAGTTTGTCCTTGCACTGACGGCAATTGCCTGCCTTTGCCTGTCGCAGAACTCCTGTTTCTTCAAAGTATTGAAGGAGCATTTGCCTCTTACATACATATGATTCTTGATTTCTTCTCCCTGCAGTTGTCCTCAGTGCTTAAGTGAGTGTCCTTTGGTAAGCGGAGCTTTTCTCATTGTTTTTTTTTGTTTTGGTTTGTTTTTTTCTGAATCCCTTGGGTATTCTTTATGTTCAGATCACTGTGACAGATGTGGATGGCAAACCTATTGCTGGTAGGACTGTGCTGCTGGAGCTCAATGAAGAATATCTAGCCAACTATACCACCAACAAGAACGGCACTGCTGCTTTTTCCATCGACACATCCAACTTCTTTGATCCCAGTTTAAAGCTGAGAGTAAGTACATACAGGTTTCAGTCTAATTCCTGCAAAAAAAAAAACTTCATTGGAGAAAGGATTTAGAAGCAACCTGGAAAGTGCTGGCAGGATTCTTTCAGATGAAGAAAATAGTCAGTCAGTCTACCAACACCTGAAACTAATATGAGAAAATACCAATGCCTGAGAACTGGCAGATTGCACCCTAGTGATGTTTGGGCTGCAGTGATTTTCAGCAGCCCATTGTTTTTCCTTTGCTCAGAAACAATTTGTGCAGCCCTCTTCCTTCTCTGCGCACTAGAGGACCTTCATCACAGACTGTCCTGTCTTCCCCACCCAGCCTGGATGCAGACTCTTTCCCTGCTGCTGCCTGCTTCCCTGCATTTCTGCTGGCAGAGAGAGGCTCATGCTTGTTGCTACCACATGGTCCTCTCATGTTATCATGCCTTTTTTCTGGTGTGATGGGAACAGCCAAGAAAAAGAGCAGTGCTATTCTAACAATAAGTCCGAGCAGTTTATATGACCTGTCCCAAGCCTGCAAGAATCTGAAAAAAACTCCCTGCTGCAATGTGCATAAAGATACATAAAGATGTCCAGAAGGTCCCCTGTTCTGGGCTGGTGAGGCACAATTTTTTCACACCAGCTCTTGCTTTTGGCTTAAATGGCCCCAAAAATCAGCTTCCCAACAGAATATTTTAGCAGGAAGATACTTTAGCCTCTAACCTACCTCCTGTTTTTTTATTTCTCATTTTGTTGATTGTTCATATATGATTCCTCTGCATAGGTCAGGCAGGCACTAGATGACTGTGCAGGCTTCTTCAACTGGAGGAACGATAACGAGCCCCAGGCCTTATTCTTTGTCCGGCGTTTCTACTCGCGGACAAACAGCTTTGTGAAAATTGAGCCAGTGAAGGAGAAGCTCAGCTGTGGCCAACAGCAAATGATCAATGTTCAATATGTCCTGAACAAAGAGAGCTACAGGAATGCTGGGCACACAAACTTCTACTATGTGGTAAGTGCTACCATGACTCCCATCTCTCTTCTTGCTCTGCTGAACACCATAAAAGGCAGAAATCTCCTGACCAAACAATGGTTACAGATCACAGCTTGATTTGATGGCCTTTGAAGCCTCTCAGAATGCTACTCAAAATCAGTGATTTCATGGGGAAAGGGTGAAGGTGCTTTTGATCCTGTCTCATGAGTTTTTTTCTATGCCCAGGTGATGACAAAAGGAAAAATTGTTCTCAGTGGCCAGAAGCAAGTGAACATCACTGGTGGTAAGTTCTAGAGTGCGTTACTTCAGAGCACCTTTCTGAGCCCTAGAGCATTAGTAAGTTTTGTAAGAAGGGATGAAAGCAAAGAACTGCATCTAAATCAGGTATTAGCTCTTAAACTTCATCACCTCTCACCACTGACTGTATTGTTTGCTTTTGCTGCAGCATCTAGCCAGTCTCCTGTATCATGATCAAATTTATCTTGCTAGTTGAAAGATAAAAGCCTTTGTTGTGACCAAACAGAAAGAATATAACCTATTTTTTTTTTTTAATTTCTTGACGAGGAATATTTGCAGGTTCACCTAGGACATTCTAGGTTTGAGATCCTAAGGCAATCATGCACAGATTTTCTTGTCAGATTTCTGCTCAGCTCAGACCCCTCTCTGCAAAGCACTCTACTTCCATTACTTTCCAGTTTGTTTTTATTGTTTTGCTAAGGGCACCTGTTTCTCAGCCACTGCAAGATGAATCTTCCAATATCCAACTTTCCTATTATTTAAAGGTGCTGGTAGGTCTTGAATAAATATATGGCCCTTCCACCAAAGCTGAGTTTTTCTAATCCCCTTTGTTGGCTTCTCATCCCCTGTTCCATGTTCCTTCCACAGCTCCCAGAGGTACATTCTCCATCACACTGACTGTCACCGAGAAGCTTGCCCCCAGTGCCAGACTGTTGCTCTACACAGTGCATCCTCATGGGGAGATAGTGGCTGACAGCACTTGGATACAGAGTGATGTATGCTTCAAAAACAAGGTAAAAGTCTTTGCTTTCTTATGAAGGGCTCTATCAAATGACTCTTTAATATGAGAAGAGTAAGGGAATGACTTCATCAAGAGCCCTGCACTCGGGATGGCCTTTAGGAATGGAAAAGGTACAGATGTGCCTGGGAACATGAAGAGCTGTCCCTGGAATTGGCATGTATTCTCAGACTCGGGAAAAAAGTCCTGAGTGGAGTGAGGAGAGGGAGGTGACTGGGATTCCAGAGGTGGTGAATTTTCACAGAACAGGGGTTCAGAAGGGCCATCTAGCGGCAGGAGCTTTGCCCCACAGAGAACAGTGTGAGCGGGGTGAAAGGCGAGATTTAGGGCTATATGCCAAGCTGATTCTCCTAATTTCTATGTGATCGCATTGGATTTATTCATTTCCAGCTCCAGCTCGAGTTCTCTGAGAAGCAGGGTCTCCCCGGCTCTAAAGTCGGTCTCCACCTTAAAGCTGCTGCCAACTCCTACTGTGCCCTGCGAGCTGTAGACCAGAGCGTCCTTCTTCTTCAGCCTGCGCGAGAGTTATCTGCCGAGAGAGTAAGCCACATCCCAAGTCCTGTGTTCTTTTGACCTAGGGACATCCACAACGACGTTTTAATTCCCGACCGTTGTGTCTTTGCTGCTGTCTGTATTTTCACTTTTCCCTTGCAAACAGGCATCTCAGTGATTAAAAAAAAACTGTCTATGGCAGTTGTATACCTCAAAGACAGAAATTCATAGTGGAACATTTACTTTTGGAAAGCATGGCCATGTAAGACATATCTCAAGAGTATGTCTAATGTAAGTCCTTGAAAGCGTAGTTGCATAGTTTCTCCATGGGGAGTGATTATGTCAAAATTCCATTTTATGACTCAAATAGGCCTTGGGCCCAGAACAAAAGCTGTAGATGTCAGCTAGTTGGACTCCTGCTTCCTGTCTGCAAAACTCGGGGACATAACTCTGTGCGTTTTGCTCGAGTTTACCCCACAAAGCAGTTGCCCCTCAGAGGGAGGGTGGTACAGTCCTTCTTATGTATCACCAGCCAAATTGTTTATTCATTTCCAGTTAGGCAACACTAGGCAAAGCCACCATATTGTGCAGGATTGTGCAGGAGCCATCATAAGCTTCGCATATATGTGCTTTTGCACCTGCCTGGGACCTTCCTTGTGTTTATACTATTTGTTCTAACCTGCCAGGTGTACTACCAGCTTCGTATGAGTGATTTACATGGCTATTACTACAATGGGCTCAACCTGGAAGATGACAAGCCAAAGGCGTGTACCCCAATCAAACCCACCTTTTTTGATGGCTTGTACTATGAACCTGTGAATGTCAGTCGTGATGGTGATGCCTACAGGATTTTCAGGGTATGTGCTTTGCGTGGCTTTTTAAGTGGGAGGTATTCCAGAAGAATTCATGCATATTAGCATTCAACTTTCTCAGGTGGTGTTATAACTACTAAGAGAAAGCATCTGATGCCTGGAACTGCCTAAAGTTTCCAAACTCCCAGTTTCTGCCTTCATATCCCTCCCTCTTCAGGAAGCCTGAAAATCAGTACTAGATAGATTCACTGGGATCCTGCCTATGCTTCAGTATGTATTTCCTAAGCACGACCATGGCCTTGGCTCATGATCTCAGGCATTCCTAGTAAATATCTGAGTTTGTGATGTAGGCCACTTGGTTCCTGTTACGCTTGCCTCCACTTTCCACTGGCCCTATAGGCTAAGATCTGACATAAGCCTCATCATTACTGATCTTCACAGAGAGCCAGGTGTCACTGCTCAATAAGAAAGACACAGAGAGTGTAGAGAGAGTTGTGACGTTCAGGTTTGCAAGGGTGGGATGTGAGGAGGGAGGAGAGAGATGAGGTATGATAACCCAGATAGGATGCACTGCTGGCTAGTGACATAACCAATTCCTTCACATGCAGGATATGGGCCTGAAGGTTTTCACCAACTCTGTGCTACGGAAGCCAGTTCTGTGCAATGAAGACAAATCAGATATGGAAGATTATCCTGTCTATTTTGACCATGCCGGTGGTTATGGTTCAGGTAAAAGAAGGTTCATACTACATGTCCAGTCCCAGTCTTCCTGCTCTTCAAAACTGTTGCCTTTATAAGATAGCAACCAGCATGTTGAGGGGGTTTGTTTTGGGTTTTTTTTTTTTAATTAGTCTGTGTCCCAGTTTGTTTCTAGAAATCTCTTTCTGACAGCTGTTGCAGTAGAGTCAATTCTCTGTTACTTAGGAACTCCGAGGTACCTCCGTGCTAAATGACTTTTTGAACATTACAAGAGAGTCCATGGCAAAACTGGAAAGCAAATCTTGGTTCCTAATATCAGATCTGTAGTTTAACTGTATGGGAAAATGTAGTTTTCCAATGGACTGGATATTCAGTTTTAACTACTGAACAGGGTAAAAATGATTGAGTTCTCAGAATAAAGTTTGTAAAGCATTAGAAGTTTTGGTGACAATTCTGGCTACTGTTTTCTACTGAGCTAGTGGTAGAGGGTGGGGAGCATGCCTTTCTCACTGGATGATGAAACCCTTCAGTATGAAATGAAGTGAAATGTCTTGTGAAATAGCTAAATTTTCTAGTATTTTCCCATGGGAAAAGGGAGCGGATAAGAAATTGTTTCTTCACATACCCTGTATCTGTTAGAATTCTCCCTTTTTATGGGAAAAAGAATGGGAAAATGCTCAAACAGGATATTTAGTGTTCATTTATGGTGTTAAGCATGCCTGACTGTTAAGAGGTTCAGATTCTTCTGGCGTGACCTTTCTATTATGCTTTAACCATAGACAATATTCTAGATGAGTCAAGGATTCTTTCTGGAGTTAGCACTGTTCGAAAATTCTTCCCTGAGACCTGGATTTGGGATCTGCTTCATACCAAGTAAGTATTTTTATTTTCACTTCTTACAGCGTGGTTTTGAGTTTATACATGTTGCTGAAATGAATGCTGGGCTGAAGCCATGGAACATATGTCTACTTTGTAGATTCGGGCCTCCTTTTCTAATCTTGATCAATGACTGTTGAGATCCCAACCTTGTACACAGTGTTAAACCTACTTGAAGTGTGAATAACATATGTTCTGTGCGCTTTCCCACATCCTTCTGCTGTGGAGAAAGAATAAGGGCTAAAAGTAAAATAAAACCATTTGTTTTGGAGCGAGCAGGAGCAAAACTTGTTGTGTTTTATCCAATGCTTAATTCAGCAGCAAAAACTCAGGTTATTTTGGTTATCTTTCCAGGCTATCACAGCATCTGCAATAAGAATATCTCCATCTTAACAATACATCCAAGGGCTGTTCTAGAACATTAATCCAAATGTATTGGTTCTAATCTGTATGTTTGGGGATTATTGTATTTAAACAAATTGTATTTCTAAATTTAAAAAGCTGAGTGTTCCTCCAAGTGTTTTCAACATGTAGTTCACCAGCACCTTCATCTTTACTTCCAGCTTTATAACTTTTTTAAATATAGAAAGGTATCTTGCAGAAAGCGAGACAAAAACACTTTCAAACTAACTCAAGTAGAGAGCCAATTCTATAATTTGGCTTTAAAATGCCAAAGATCACTTTTTATTCTGTTTTTCTTGTTTCCTTCAGTTCCAGAGGAGAGGCAAATGTCTTTTACACCATTCCTGACACCATCACAGAGTGGAAAGCCAGCGCATTCTGCATGCAGGATGATGCTGGTTTCGGCATCTCTTCACCTGTTTCATTGACAGCGTTCCAACCATTTTTTGTGGGTCTCACCTTGCCATACTCTGTCGTTCGAGGGGAAAAATTTAATTTAATAGCCAATGTCTTCAATTACCTCAACAAATGCATCCAGGTATATCAAGTTCCCTTTTACTTCCTATATGTTTTGTCTATTTCTCAGACAACCTGGCGTTCTCCTGCATAATGCACCAGAAATGCAGAAACAAGTGTCTAATTTACACTTTAGCCCGATACATTACTCTATCACTCTCTTTCCCTGGACACATGCCTGTGTCATAACCCTAGAAAATGTGGCTGATGATAACTGTGGCTGGTCCACAGAAGATAAGAGCTTGATCCTTATCCCTGTATAATTTACTACTTCTTTTTGCTGAAGGGGGAACTGGAATGTGGAGTTTGGGTACTGTGCTATGCAAAACACAATATATGCTAAGTATGTTGCATGTAGCAGTAACTCGTAAAATGACTTGACTAATTGGCACAGACACCTTGGTATACTTCTGGGAAACAGTTACTGATAGTGGGCAGAAAAGAGACAGCTTTGCCGCTTCCTCAGAGAAGTGCCCTGTCCTTCTGTCCTGGTACCACCCCACAGATTCAGTTTCTCTAGGAGGTCTCCCTTGCTCTGCAGCCTAGCTTTAGGGGCAGCCTACTTCATTTGCAATTGTTCTCCTTCCTTCTTTGTCTCAGATCAGTGCCGTACTAGCAAAGTCGAGTGACTACAAGGCAGAAATCCTTTCACCAGAGGGCAACACAGCAAAGGTGTGTGCCAATGAAAGAAAAACCTATATTTGGGCAGTTAGCCCCCAAAAACTCGGTAAGTTTGTCTTTTCATCACATTGATAAATCCCTGTTTGATCTTTCTTCTTCTCTTACTCCTACCTTTTAATGAAGTAGCAATAACCCACAAGCAGGCATTTCTGGACAGCTCCATTTATTGCTCCATGAATTTAGTACTGCATCTCTGCTAAAGCTCCCTTAGACACATTGAATGAGCAGTGAATTGTTCTGATGTTTTATCTCTTCTGATTTTTGGTACTTAATTTCCTGTCCATTTTAGGACTAACTCTTCACTTCCCACATTATGTATGAAATACTGGCAGAATTTCATGTGCCCATAATCTTTCAGCTGACATTTTTGCACTTAAGCAGCTGTATTCAGTAAGAATAAAATTTGCTTATAATTTTGGATCAGATTCCCAACAGGCAAAGAGGACATTGCTCTTCCCCAATTTTACAGCTGTGTCAATTTAGACTGCCTTCAAGTCAATAGTGTCTTTTTAAAAAGCATTTAGAACAGCATGCATGTATAAGTGCCCCAGAAGCTGAAGTACAAAAAGCTTTTAAGTAGCAAAGATTCTTCTCAAAATGAACCACCGAGGGACCTTTTCCTTAAAAGGTAATTTCTAAAATCCTGAAGTCAGTGTGAGTGATTCCCTTCAAACTCACTGAGAAAGATACAAAATTATAGTGGGATGAAAACTGGATATGCAGCAAAATAATGTTGCAGAGCTGAAAAAAAAAAGCTGTTGTTTCTCCCTAATAACTCTGATAATGCATTTTTTTTTCCAAGTAAAAAGCTTCTTTGGATTTCCAGTTTGCAATGATTGAAAGGGTGAAGTGAGCAACACTTCTACAGCTTCTCACTGCAGGGTTGCTCCTCAGTGCTGCAGCAGCCCTGAGGCTGCTCCTCACTGTTGTCCCTCAGTTAACAAATTCCATCAGAAGGAAAGATGCAGCAGAGCTATAGCTATTGCAACACTGCCCTAGGCCAAAGGAAACTACAACCCTAAGAGAGGTGGAAACTGATAGTACTGTCATTTTTTTTTGGCCAGGATCATCCCTATTTGATTCCTCATACCAGGGCCCCAATCTACCACTCCTTGCCAGTAGCAGACAGATGTGGAACCTCCATGAAGTTTGTTTTTACTGAGCTACCTTCAGAGGGAACACATTTCTCAACAGTTCATCAGCCTAGAAGAGGCAGTGAAAATCAGGGATAGCTGTAGCCATGGAAGATAACTCTTTTCTTGGGTTGGTGGGTGGCTTTCCAGGTGAAGTGAAATTCACGATTACTGCTGAGGCCAAACTGAACACTGGAAGTACGGGAAACAGCACTTCTCCAGAAGAGGAGACAATTCGCAGGGACACCCTGATTCAAACTCTGCTTGTTGAGGTACAGTAGGAAATCTGAATGTGCTTTCTGCTCTGTGGGAACTGAAATTCCTATAGCTGTGAATTAGAAGCACTTAGCTAGTGTGAGGAGGCAAGTCAGCTGACACAGGTGGAACTGTGTAGGCTGCTTCACATGAAAATAAGAGTGTAAATCACAACAATCAGTGGCATCCACTCTCTTCCTGCCACTGTCTCCTTCCTGGGATCATATGTCAGTATCACCTCACAGATGTCAGTAGAGATGTAGGTAGAAGGGAGGAGATTCGATACCTTTAGCCTGTGACTCTAGTACTGTAGAGGGGGGTGGAGGGCAGATATAAAAGAACAAAGGTTTATCTTGAGCATCATAAAGCAGAACCCACATAGGATTAGTTGGACAGAGTCCCTCTTATAGGCTGGCAATGTCTGTTTTTTAACTGCTTCCTAAGAAGAAAGTTGTTCTGGACAGAATGTTGTGTAAAAGAGAGAGGGAGCCATGGATCAAAAGATATCCTAGCGGAGATGGAGTAGGACTGGGTTCCAGGGGTGCACTGTCTGGATAGCCACATGGGTAGACTGCTTTACACCGCTAAATTGTCATGGCTTCTTAGTGATGTTCTGCATTTTTCTTCTCTTCCTGACCAATCACCTGCAATCAAACAGCCTGAAGGCATTAAAAAGGAATTGACTCAGAGCTCCCTCGTCTGTACGAAAGGTAAGGTGAGGTCATTCATTCATTCCAGGCAGTCAGTGGAACTGCTTCACTGTCTTGCAGGCTTTGTCCTACAAAACCAGGCACCCTTCCAGAAGAGGAAAGAGGGTTTCAGGGTCAAGGTGCTGGGCTACAATTCAGGCTTTTCAGACATACCTTACGATGAGTATCTCTGGAAGATACTCACTAGGCAAGTCTCTGCAGCATTTTCTTTACCCAGGCTGCAGATTTTAACAGTCACTGTAGTAATGCTTACAAAGTAGAGAGTTCTAGAAAAAAGATTATTTTAACAAATATTCTTGTTACATTTTCTCATCAGGCACTACAATCTCTGAACCTGTGTTGCTCAGCCTGCCAAGAAACCTAGTGCAGGGATCAGCCAGAGCTTACTTTTCCGTCATTGGTAAGTACTTTAGTACTTAGACTAAAAGCCAAAAGTAAATGGTATTTCCCTAGTGCTGCACCACCTGTCATCATGTATACACGTGCAAAACTAATGGGAAGTTGAGGAAATACTTGATTTTAGAGGAAATGTTTCCTACTTTGCAATTTGGTCATATCAAAAGAGGACAAAATACTCAAATTACTTCAACTTAATATTGCATTTCAGATTATATTAGCATATCCCGTTCTCTGTAGTAAAACAGTGAATTCAGCTGGAAAAGTAGAAAAGGCAGACTTCTTTGAAAAAAATTATTTTGATTTCTTGGAAAGAATACATCAGAACTTTGCTGACTGCCTCGTTTCAAATTTATGCTTTTGCATGGAGAAAAACACGTCAGTTGGCAAGTTCCCACAGAACAAGACTTTCAGGTCCCAATCAACTCTACTAATCACAAGGTCATTATTAAGCCTGACAGTTCTCTTCAGGGACAATTTTATGAGGTTCTGAACTTAGATCGCTTTCCAAATACAGGTTTTTTTCATGCCTTGGTCAGTGTGAGGTGTGCTCATACTGTGCAATACAGCCTCTGTAGCCCATCAGCATCATACCCCACACATTGTTCTCACTTGTACACACAAAATGAGAAGCAGGTTGTAAAAGGCAGGGAAAAATCTAACCCTTCTAAGGGCTCATTGGTGTTTCTCAGAACCCATTCCAGCCAGTATTGGTGTATAATGCTGTATAAGAAAAAAAATGTTTGAACTGAAATGACTTCTTATATCTTTCATTCTTCAGGAGACATTTTGGGTACAGCCTTGAGGAACATGGAAAACCTTCTCCATATGCCTTATGGTTGTGGAGAACAGAACATGGCTTTGTTCACACCCAACATCTATGCCCTGGATTATCTGAATAAGACTGGGCAGCTGACTGAAGAGATCAGAATCAAGGGTACTGGATATTTATCTACAGGTGAGAAGGTTTCAGATTCTTCCATTTAATGTTGCGATTGTGTGCATTAAACTCTTCAGGTCTAAATGTTTAACACTCATCTCTGAATTCTAGCACCACATTTACTGCATTGGAGCATGCAGTGACAGCACCCCAAAGAAGCATGTCATACTTCCTGCAGCAAAAGCACCTAGAATTCATAGTAGCTGACATTATTCACCAGACATACATTACTTAGTAGTAAATTAAAAAGTCTCACTGCTTTAGTTGAACGATCAGCAGAACTAGTTCTTTTCTGTGATTAGAAATATGTCTTCTTTATTGTGTTTTTAGGGTACCAAAAACAGCTATCATACAAACACCGGGATGGATCCTACAGCTCTTTTGGGAAACGAGATATGGAAGGGAGTGTATGGTAAGTGATGATGCTTTCTATTTCCTAGGATCCTTAGGCTTTGAAAAATGATCAGTATTAAGTTGTTCTTATTTTTAATAGACCAAATGGACAAAGCTCGATTAATTTGGATTCCCTAGTAAACGAGAGATTAATAAACCAGAGAGAGTGCAACAAGAGGGGAAGATGATTTGGGCTAGAATACATAATGTTGAAGGCGAGGCTGAAGGAACTGGGTTTGTTCACCCTATAGAAGAGGAGAGTAAAGGGAAAATTGGGTAAAACTTTCTGCTACCTAGATGGGGACTGTAGAGAAGAAAGACACACTCTTTTCAGGGGTGCACAGAGTCAGAACAAGAGTTTGTCCTTACTCAAGTTGCAACAGGGAAAACTCCAACTGAGTAGAGGGAAAAAAAACCAACATTTTTCCCCAGGAGAAGGGGAAGCACTGAGACAAATGCCCAGAGAGGATGTGGATATCTATCTCTGGAGATTTTCTTTATGTGATCGAAGAAAGAGCTAGGTTGTCCCTAGTACAAGCAAGTGGTTGAACTGGAGACTTCCAGAAGTACCTTCCCACCTAGTTTAATTCATAATTCTATTACTTAAAATTAGAAATTACTATCATGAATCATCAAGCTGTGTCTATACCCTTGTTCTGAAAGAATGTTTTCAAACACAGTGATAGAGAAACCTCAGGTCAATTTTTAACTATCTTATTTATTTAAACTTACAAAACACTTGTTTCTTTTACCTCAGACATTACAGGGTTCATTTAATGTAATTTTTTTGTGCACATCCAGTTGCTGGTAAACGTTCTTCATTTTGTTCACACCTTACCTGCTTTCTGTTTCTGATTCATCTACAGGCTCACTGCCTTTGTGTATAAGTCATTTGAACAAGCCAAACGCTACATCTACATTGATGACAAAGTCCAGTCTCAAGCTTTGATCTGGCTGGCAAGCAAGCAGAAGTCAGATGGCTGCTTTGAAAACACTGGATCACATTTTAACAATGCTCTGAAGGTAACTGAGACTAGTGTAGTCCCACACTTCCAGTCCTGCCATTGGGATTGATCTGGATCATGTCTTCCAGGCACAAGCTTATGACCATACCCTTACTCTTTCTGGTACTATTCTCTTATTTCTATCATATACAAGCAGGGAATGATTCTTCTGTCTGCTATTGACAATGTGATAGAAACAAGTAGAACTGTCTGAGTTAGAAGTCTCAGGTTTTATTTTTACTATTGTGTTATGTGTTCAGCCACAGGCTATAATGTGCTTTATTGCATACGTGCAAAAGCCAGAAAAACACATGAAATGATTTTTGGCTTTATCCTGAGTGAACTTGATCTATCTTGTTCCTGTGCACACAGGGATACAGAAATTACTTCTGATCTCAAATCTAACTGGTATCTGAATTAATTACTATGAATTAATAACTATGAATTAAATAATATTTTATTTCTTTCTGTGCTTATCATTTCTTTGCTTGTTTTTCCTTCAGGGTGGAGAAGAGGGTGAATACTCACTCTCAGCCTACGTTGTAGCAGCTTTGCTGGAGGCTGGACACTCTGCTGCGGTAGGTATTTGGTGATGTTATGCTCTATTAGTCCAGTCAGCCAGTTGTCAAACAGTGTGCAAGTCATAGTTCTCACATCTGTATTCTTGAGCAATACAAATCGTTCTTGGTAAATACTGATTGTTGGACATTAGGGTCATCTGAGGAAATTTATTTCCAGAACCTGCAGTTGCCATAAGTATTTGATGAGTGTTACAAATCAGTTCCTATGAGTTAATTTGAAAAATCCCTGAGGAATCCAGTTGGTAGTCTATGTAGATGCAAAATCCAGACTGAACTTGCTTACTCCATCGAGAGTCCAGCTCAGGAAAAGAACCAGTGATCTGTTAGTCTGGCCATGCTGCCTCTAAACAAGTAAAGAAAAAAGGCAGTACCGTTAGAAGGGCATTTTCTTATAGGATACACAATGTAGGCCCTTAGATATAACATGGATCATGTATATTCTTAGGGTGAAGGGTCAGTTATGGCAGCTTAAGCAGTGGTGGAAGTATTTAAAGAGAAGCTGAGACACAATTCCAAGTACCTGACAACCCTATTATGTTTTGCATTATCAGCATCCTGTTGTCCAGAATGGCATGAACTGTTTGGAGACTGCATTTAGCAATGGAGTCCACAACCTGTATAACCAGGCCCTCTTTGCCTATGCTTATGGCTTAGCTGATGAAGAGAAAAGATACCAATTCTTCCTTGAGAAGCTGGACAAGACAGCTACTAGAGATGGTAAGTACAGGATGGCCATGATACAGGCAATACAGCTGATGGAATGGCCTGTGGTATGATGTAAGCTATCTGAATACAGTTTTCTCACTAATGCTGCTCCCCTCCCATTTCATGCCTGCTCTGCTACTGAATTTATCTCTATGAACTTCTTTGTCTCTCTTTCTTTGCTTCACAAAAGATGGAGTTGTGGCCTGATTTTCTCAGAATTACGAAATATGGGGAAAGACCTCTGGAAGTCTCAGTCCAAGGTGGTAGAAGACTGAATGGTTCCTCCAATAGCCTCTTCTACACATTGAACAAACCCAGTTCCCTTGGCTGTGTCATGTGCTCCAGTCTGCTACTGCTTTAGCATCTGCTGCACTGCCTTCACTTCAACCACTCTTTGACTTATGTAGCCTCCTTTTATTAATTTCTTTTCCATCCCTTTCTGTTTTCAGTCCTGGAACTAAAACTTTTCCAGTTCAGGACACTGATGGCTGAAAAAACTCCAGGGTAAAGATAGGGAGGGAATTGTGTGCCTATATCTATCTCCCAAGTGATGCTGTAGTGAATTAACCAGCAAGAGATTTTTCCATGCTTTATACATCCCACTCTTCTGTTTTCAGGTGCTTCAGTTCACTGGCAGAGAGAAAAGAAGCCACCAGCAGAACATTTACCTGTCTTCTATTCCCGTGCCCCTTCTGCTGAGGTTGAAATGACCAGCTATGTGCTCCTGGCTTTGCTTAACAAAGCAAAACTCACTCCAGAAGATTTATCTTACACTTCTCACATTGTGCACTGGCTTGTCAAACAGCAGAACCCATATGGTGGTTTCTCTTCCAGCCAGGTAACAACTGGGTGTGGTTGCCCCAGAACTTGTATTGTGTCTCCTTAGCTCTTTACAAAGTCCCCCTCCATGTATGAGCACGGACAAAGCATCAGGGAAACAGGAGCTGTGCTAATCTCATGTGCCATCTTACAGCTGGGTATCTAATTAGGAATCATGTTGTTCTTTTCAGGACACTGTTGTCGCTCTCCAAGCTTTAGCCCAGTATGGATACCTCACCTTCTCTAAAAACAGTCTTAACACAGTCAAAGTCAACTTCATGGAATCCCCCAGTAAGACTTTCCAGGTGAATGACAATAACCGCTTCTTACTGCAGCAGGCTTCCTTACCTGCTATTCCTGGGAATTACAGTGTGGAAGTGAATGGCACTGGCTGTGTCTATCTGCAGGTAAGCAAGCTGGAAACTCAGCACCACCCCTCTGAGAACTAAGCAGGCGGTCCCCTGTACCTCATTCCTCTCCGTACCTCATGCCAAAACCACAAAGCATCTAAGCCTGTGACCATCTTGCACTTCCCATCTCTTTTAGACCACACTGAGATACAACATCCATTTGCCAAAAAAAGTTGCAGGATTTTCTCTCTCCATACGGCCAGCCAATGTATCTTGCACAAGCAACTTCCCACCAAAGTTTGACCTTGTCATCTCTGCCAGGTAACTTCTTCTTATTGACCAACCCCTTTGCATTCATAGTTTGTTAAGGCATCAAAGGAAGGATTTAAGTACAAGCAGTTAACCGCTACTGCTGCAGGAAGTCAAAAAGGATCATTGGGACCTGAAAATCCAGTTCACTGGCCTCCTTTCCATTTGCAGACCAGACTAACAGAACTTTTCTCATTTTAGTTACACAGGAAACCGCAAAGTCTCCAACATGGCTATTATTGATGTGAAGATGCTCTCAGGTTTTGTTCCTGTAAGGTCTTCCCTGGAAAAGGTAAAGAATGAGAGCAAAGTGAATGGCAAACACTGAAAGCATAGGAAGCAGATAAAAATAGTCTCTGGTTAGCAAACTGGAGCCCCAGGGGAATTCTGCCAAGTCTCTGGGTACAGCCTTCTGTTACACTCTCAGACGTGTAGCTGTTCATCTATTGAAGACAAATCTATTAGGAGCTGCCAAATCCAGTAGCCCAATAGATATGAGACTGCTGCAGCTTCATATCCCCAGGTACAGCCAACAGCAGTCTGTGTGTTCTCAATAGGCAGACATACACATCACACACATATCTAAATACCTACAAGGCTGGCCCCACAGGTCATCAGAGACAGAAAGACAGCATTTACACAACCGCAGCACAAATGACCTTATTCTGTTTCCTTTCCTGGGTAACCAGACTGAAAACTCATTTGTGGGAAAGATAAACATACATATATATATGAATGTATACATGTATGTAGCTGACCTTAGACACCCAATCTGCCCAGTAGCTGATTATTGTTCTATCCAGTTTCTGGGACCTGGACATGTGCACCCCCAAGGCTGCAGCAGCACTCTAGTGGCAGGACCCTAGAGTGCCCCCCAGCATTCACATATATGCATGGTGGGTATCTCCAGTAAACGGCTAACATATCCATGATGTATCTTCAGTAAACAGTAGACATGCAGTCTCTGCAGCAACTGGGCTTGGCCTCCCAGTTGCCTCATGCAGGCATGTGCACACACCCAAACAAACACAAAGGAGTCTCTGCAACTGGTCAAGCCCAATAGCCTGACCAGTTTCTGCTCCCAAGGCCTGGTCTCTCCCATAGCTGAATCAGATCCTCTGGTATCTTCAGTATTTGGCCAAGACTTCAAGTGGTCAACAAGAAGAATGCAGTTCACTGTAGTCTGCTCATAGCTTGGTACACTTGTAATCATTCATCCTTCAGGCCTGAATTCCTTTTTTTTTTGGCTAGAACTGTGTAAGATTCATAACTTTACTTTGCAAGATTTTTCCATTAGCAAGTTACACTGGCATGCTATTCCTTTTAATAGGTACTTGGGGAAAAAAAGAAAGAGCTGGTTTTAAAGTTTGGAATATTTTGGGGTTGTGTGATTTTATAGGAAAATAATTTTGCTCATACGCTTTTCTAGTTTTTTTAAAACATTTGGGTTATTTTAAAATATACAATGGACTAGCAAGTGAGTCAGCTTGAGCTGCAGAAATGTCGTGTAAGTGTAAATTCTCATTGAAATGAGAGCATTCAAGTTAATGCTGAAGTCATATGCACCGAAGCTGACTGGTAAAACTGTTCATCATTGTGATTGGTTTGCACTCGGCCTGTTGTGAAAATGCTCTACTTGCGTTTCTCATTTTGGCCAAGAGATGTCAGAATGGCACAGGAGGAGGGTGGCAGCCACTTTAAACGTGTTTTGCTACGGAATAGTTATTTCTAAGTGTCCTTGGCAAGTCTCCTATGTTAACATTGCTATTATTTGCCTTATTTAAAGCTTCAGTACCGGAATTCTGTTGTGGATCGTGTAGATATCAAGAACAACCACATCTTTTTCTACCTTCAGAAGGTAAGTCTGGGAGGTTTCTTTTTTGGTTTCATTAAATTGGAAGTTTAAAACAGGCTCCCAGATTAAAACAAGTATATCTCATTAATAGCAGATTAGCAATACACGTCTTAAAGATGTAAAGGGGTTTCATTCAATCCAACATCAAATCTATATATACAAAGTAGTTGTAGTCTACAGTGAAGTGATAAGCATTTATTGCTTTTTGTGAAGAATGCTGTATGATTAAATAGCATTTCTCAAACACAGCTAAATTGCAGTCCATGTTGCAAAAGTTTCCAGTCCACATAATATTGCTCAGCCACTAAGTGAGGCTTCTCATCAATTAATCTGAGAGCATTTTACAGGGAGTCAGTATCGTCCCCTCCCTTTTAGAGAGATTTATGCATGAAAAGAATAGTTCTTCCACATCAGTGACATTGATAAAGGGAATGAGAGAGGAGAAAGATGAAAATTAAAACAGAGGGGATCTTAAAATACCAAGAAGGGAAGGAGAGAGGAACCAAAATGAAATAGTAACAGTATCTACCTCTCAAATAGTAATTATTAGTAGTTCTTATGGTCTCCAAGAATCTAGTAAGGAAGATTGGAGTCAGTGTTCTGAATTCACAGAGAAGCTGAGATCTTGAGATGTGAAAAATTTACTCAGTGGGACACCAGGGATGCAGAAAGTTCTCCAGAGCCCTTGTCCATGGCTCCATTCCTATAAAGTGGTCAGCAAGATAAAAACAAGGACAAAGGGTGAAGAGAGCAGGGATGCACAAGAGGAAGTTTGGGCAGCTGAGGAAGCTGAGGCTAGAGGAAAGTTTGGGATATATAGCTTCAAGAGTGTGGACTGAGGAACAGAATCACAGGGGAGGATGGACATCTTGAGCTCAAAGTGATCTAAGAAAGAAAAGGGAGGAGAAGATTCATAAAGGTGCTGAAGGTGATTTTATCTGGAAAGGGCAAGGAAAGAAATTACTGGCAACTTTCAATGACAAGATGAATGCTGATGTGCTGAAAGCTGCAGTAACCAAGGAATGGCTGGGATAATTGGCAATGGAAATACGAAGAGAAAGAAAGAAAAGAGCACGCAATTTTAGCAACAAAACTTATTTAGCAACAGCTTTTAAACAATTAACCTGATTTGATATCAAGTTTACGATCTGGAGAGAACTGAGAATGGCACTTTATCACACAGTCTGACCCAGAAATGCCTTCTTCAACCTTAGCCTCAGGGTAGATATAAGAAGAAAAAGTCTGATGAATTTTCTTGTCTTGCCATTTCCAGGTTTCCCAGAAGGAAATAAACTTCTCCTTCAGTGTGGAGCAAAGCCTGCCTGTCTCAGATATCAAACCAGTGCCAGTACATATGTATGATTACTACGAAACAGGTAGGTGACCTTAGTAGGCCTGAGCAAAACCAGTGAAATTGAAGTATTGATCTCAGTATTTACAAAGTGTGGACAGTGTGTTTTCCCTTGCTCTCTCTGTGCAAGCCTCTCTTCCCTTTACTGCATTTGCTACCTTTGTGTCTCAGGAGAGACAAGTGGAGAGCAAGTTGGCAATTCTGCTGGTTTTGACTGCTGAATTGCAAAGGGTTTGCAGATCATACACAGTTTCTCCCCCATCTTTTCTTTTTCGGCTGCATTTAGACATAAAGCAGATTAGAAAGTGGTATGTCAGGAGTTGTTTTCCTATAAACTACATACATAAAGAAGTGTGATTCCGCTTTTTTTCCACAGCTTGAACACTATGGTTAAAAATCAATAACTCAAATGCAGCGGTGGCCCTGACTTTCCTGGTGTGGGTTATCTCATATTTTTGCTTTATATTACCATAGAAGGCTGCTGTCAAGAAGCTCCTCTTTTGTGTAGTTTAAATACTTAGGTAGGAATGACGGTTCCACTGAACTCAAAAGGAATTTAAGCACCTAACTAGAAAGTGAAGTGTCTGACCACCTTTCCCAGTCTGGCCTCACAGGATTACAGTTGCATCAGACATTACTCAGTTATCAGACATTACCCAGGACAGGTTTCCCTGTGCTTTTCTCAAGCGTGGCACAACCTTTGGGAGCTGCATCCTAACAGATTAGCAGCAGTGTCCAGAGAACTGGCCCTGGAGCACATGTTCTGCCACCTGATCCACATCTTTCATGATCTCAGCAATGATGTGTCCTGTCAAGCATAGCCAGAGGAGTGCATTGGGTTCTGACTGTGCACCCCTGTAACTGAGTGCCTTGACAGCTGGAAGGCTATCACAACATCTATCAAATGTTTTCTGGTTCATAATGCATTAATCGCAAGTGCGCACAAACTGGGGTCAGAATGATTTCTCACTTATAAAAATGTCATCTTCCTTTCTTCTTTTCAGATGAATACGCCCTTGCAGAATACAAATCACCCTGCTCCCCACCTTCCAGCTGAAATTAGATATGTGCCAGAAGAGATAATCAGAAGGTATCAGACCAGCATTTGTAGAGGAAGGAGAGGATAAGAGACTTGGTTATTTCTGGGAGAGCAATGAAAATCATATAGAAGAATGAAAAATAAGCAAATCCCAAACTGCAGTAGATCAGAATGACCCATTCTGGCCCATATTTCAAAAGAGCTTGGGGTCAGTGTGGATCAGAAACTCCAGATAAAGTGCTTTTCCTAACAAGGGAGGTACTGTGCAATTGTTAACCCTGACCATTCATCTTTTTGAAAACCCATGACATACGTTCTGGTGAGAGCTTTGTGTAAAGGTAAACTCCTGAAATGTGTACTCATGGCCACAGATTCCTCTTAAGAAATCCAAGATTAGGAGAATAATCTGCTACTGGTGAATGTTCTATAGATTTTACTTGTTTTGGTCTTTCTGTTTATCCTGAAGGAAGATTCTGCAGAAATTACTTTGAACCTCACCTTTGTCAGTAACTGGACTGAGTGGTTTACAGAGGTCAGAATTCTAGTCACAGGGAGACAACTTTTGTGCGGTTTTTACCTCTATTTAGAAAGGTTTTTTTCAGATTAACAGCTCATATTTTACTGCTCTTTATAATAAAACCTTCTGATTGTCCATGCTATTTGTCCCGGTCTCCACTCCTTTTATCTAGAACTGGTTGCTGTAAGATATTTCATAAGATAAAAATTTCGTACCTTGGATATGTCAATCAATGACGACATCCTGACATGAGTGGCATCTTGTGGCACAGACAGAACTGGGGTCCTGGCCTATGTGATGGAAGCTTTCTACCCAGAAACTCCAGAAAAAGTGCATTAGTTCAGCATAACAGTGGGAGAAACTTGAGAACTGTGACACAGAATCTCTTTGAAAAGGGGTCGGGGGAAATGGTGGACCCCATGGAGCCTGTGGAGGGAGAAAAATGAGGAGATGTGGACAGGATGAAAGTTGAAGAGAGCCACGAGGAGCTTATGATGAGATGGCAAAGTACAAGAAACTTCCTGTCATGCTTTCTGCATTTAGAGAACAGGTACAGCAGACAGCCACACACACACTGTCATTACCTTTGTCCTGACCAGATCACATTAATGTAGGGGCCACAGAAGCCAATCACATGTCCATAACAATCTGAGCAGACATCTGCCAATTTAATCATATCACTGAGCTGCTCTTTCTTCAGTCAGGGCGCTAGACATATTCCTAGTTTTGGAAGAGACTAGCTTATTTATCATAAAAATGGACTTCTCAAAGCAGATTTTGATGCAAATCAGTGTGCCTACTGTGAGGCAGACCGCACAATATGAAATGGTAGCAGAGGAAGAGACTTTTGTACACCCTGAGACCACTGTTCAGTAGAGTGGTCAAGCTTGCCCTGAGATGGCTAAAGTGAAACTAATCCTATTGCCCTGAGGTGTGCAGGAGCCTTTGTGTTAAGGGGCAGCCATGAAAGAGACCCACAGGCTCAATGTAATCCCAGAAAGGTACAGAAGAAATTTGGAAGCAGTAGAAGCGCATAAAGGATAGCTTAGAAGGAACCTGTGCAGGACATCAAATGAAACCTCCTATTCTATGAACCACCTGCTAGAAACCAGAAACTCAAAGCAGGAGACAGTTGCAGAGGAAGAATCTCCACTGTCTTCTCAGGACCACAGTGCAAGCCTCTTTAAAATGAACTACAACTGTGAGCAGTGTATCAAGATGCATGACTCAGGTAACAGAAAACACCCAAACCTGTCCACTAAGTCTGCACTGCAATTGCTTTTTTAGTTCTGAACAATTTACTAAACATTAGTTCTCCTTGCAGCCAAAAGCAATCATGCATAGGTCCTTCATTGCACTGTAAAAGGCACTCATCCAGGAGGTTCCCTAAGGAAAGGCCCATTGGGTGGGAGAGACAAAAATTAAGGACATTTTACTTGAAAGCTGTAAAAATATAACCTACCATCCCCAAAACAACTTCTTTTATTATTTATGTCTTTGACCAACTTTCACATGTTTTTTAAAAAGAACTGTAAAGTGATTTAGCACCAGGTATTTCCCCTGAGATAAGATCACAGAACCTAAAGCCTGCAGGTTAGCAAAGGCTTACTGAGATCACCTTTCTTGCTGCATCCAGGACAATAATCTACCACTTGTCCCTGACGAATAAAAGCAAATGCTAGTGACTGTGCTGAACTTTCAGCCACACCGTGTGAAGCAGTATTTTTCTGCAGGGGGTTTTCTCTTCTGGGTCACATACCAACATACACATATATAGACATACCTACAGACAAGGAGCCTATTCATCAATCAGTTACTCCCAGTACAGGTATTTCTTGGCTTGTTGCTCAGAGTTTTCTGCAAGTTCAGACGTGCAGTAGGGCTCCTGTGCTCCGATATGAGTTGGGTTATTACAGCTGTCTTCAGTTTTAGTCAAATACAATACCCTTTATTACAAACTCCGCTGTCTCTGTAAGTAAAGGAGTTGTGGGAATGTAAAATCAGACCGATACTGTCTTGGATAGCCCTTGTGAGCAACCTCTTCTCAGGTTACTATCTTGGATACTATTTAAGATAAAAAATAGTCTGAACTGTGGCATTTCTAGTCAGATGAAAGTCTTTCCTTTTCTTCTCCTTGGAAATACATTTCTATTTCCTCATATGTCCTCTGAAGTTGACCAAAAATGTCTTTGGGCATGTCCTCTCTGTCTCAGCTTGGTCATGCATTAACAGATGCAGATAAATTCAAATCCTTCTGCACAAATCTGGGTGGGGGAGACATGAACAAGCTGAAATTTGGAGGTTAACTGGCCTGTTTAGGCATGTCCATAGTCTGCTTCACAGCAGCTACTCTGACTCTTGTGTCAAGTCACCCACAGACTCGGGTCTTCTCTACAGAAAGACAGGGGACTTCACAAATAATTTCTGTCAAAGACAAACACCATTACCACTGGATAGGTTGAGGCAAGGTGTGTAACAACTCCCAGAACTCTCTTTCTGGGTGCTTTTCATGTGCATTTGGTGAAGGCTTGAGATAGGGTAAGAGTTTCTGCACATCAGGTAGCAGGAGAGTATACAGCTTGAGAGTGACATTGGGGTCCAGGCAAAAATGCAGACTTCAGGAATTTAGCAACATGAGGACTTAGGAAATTTTGGGAAGCAGCTGGGTAGCTGTGCTAAACAGCTGAAGAATAGGGCATAGGATACTATGCCTCTTTATGAATTTTTGTCAATTTAGAACCTGTCTGATGTGAACCAAGTGCCTTCACTCCCTCAGGAACCTGACCCCATGCTCTGACATATCCTGTCTTTCTAAATACACCACCTGGCATTTGAGAGCTTTGGGCACGTAGAAGCTTTTCATGTGATAGCACTCTGCATGCAGGCAAGCCTGAAAGGACACTTTGATGTGTAAAACAACATTTATGATTACATGCCATGCCATCAATATTTTTGGGTACTGTCCTCAGGATGGACACAGGTATGGGAATAGAACTCTCTGCTTTCTTTGGGTTGGATTTAATCTTTGCTTTATTGAAGTGCAAGAGTAGTTTCTTCCATGACAATTTTGGTGGTGATTGATGTGAGTTTCTACCTTTTGGAAAAAAAAGAAAAAGACATTCTGAGAAAAGGATATAATGAAGTGAGTGACCCTCACCTCCTCCACTTCTGCTCGAAACCCAGAGGTCCTATCCCCAGCATTTCTGTCCCAGCAGAAGCATCCCCTAAGCACAATAGTTGACCCAAAGTCACACTAAAAGCAATGTTTTTATGTTTGTGTGAGACCTCGTGGTGACTTTTGGTGTAGACAGACACATGATAAGGAATTAGCTATGAATCTGAAGATATTAAGGTGCCAAGCCGTTTTTCAGTGACCCCAAACTCCCCTTGCTCTTCCATTCCTCTCACCACAAAAGACTGTGTGAGCTTCAAGAAGGATCAGTCAGACTAGTTCAATCCACCTTCTTCAGCTGTGTACACTCAGCATGCTACCAAACAAAAGCCTTTGTTTAATGGCATTTCAGTGAATGGCCAACTGCAAGACTGGTCAGATGGAAACTGATATGAAATGCAGATTCTTTCAAAAGTACAGCATTTAAATTTTGCCATAAATGTCAAAAACACTAGAGTGACAGGGAGTGGCTGGGACATTGCCAGTGGTATCTAGCAAAATCTGCATTTTATAGCCTACTTTTACTTCTGTAACTCTTTCACATCCAGCACAACCAGTCACACAAATTTTTTCTCATGGAGCTGATCATCTGAATTTGCTGATGCAGGAACTCAGGAGTTTGCTTAACCTCAATGCAAGTCAGACAGGTTGAACTATGTCCCACACTCTTACTTCTTTGAGATTTTAATTTCATTTGTTTGCCAGGAGTGAAAACAGAGCTTTGAGGCTATTTGGCCTCGGTTCACTGTGGTTTATTTGTATGTATTTCTCTAGCTCATGCAGTAAATTTGAGAAATTTGGCTACTTTCATGTTATGCTGTTTCACATTCTTCCCCCTTACGTGTCTCTACATAAGAAATTTTACTTAGTTTATTTATGAGCTCCGTAAGAAAGTCTTGATTTTTGAATTATGTAAAAAATTAGTTGTTGCACAGCAGGTTGCAGCAGAAACCTATCACATGTAGTAACAAGCATGAATCTCGCTACTGTTCAATCAATGAGTTGTACACCACAATTTCTTTCTTGTGTGTTTCATTTCTTGTCTGTACAGCTGAGCCACCCTGCTCTTAGCATTACCTTACTAAAGGGTAACTCCCTCCTGTGGAAAGAACTGGTGAAAATTTACTTGATGTCATGAAGTAAAGAATAGACAAAAGTGGCAAAGCAAGTACGGAAGAAATCTTTAGAAAAGCCACATAAGCCTGAAAGATCACTTGGGGAGTGTGGGAGGTTCTTACTCTTGATGTTTCTGACAAGTCAATAATAGCCATGTTAATGTCATCCTTTGCCACAAGCAGTGGATGCAGCTTTTGGGTCCTATCATAGCCAGTCAATAAAAAGGCTCAATTCCTTTAAGCCTTTTTCCAGTTCTTTGCAGTCTGTGTCATGCAATGACACCTCTGAAGACTTTTTATCCACCTAAAGTATTGGGAAGGTGTAGTAAATGCTCACTGTTCTTTGAGACTGCAGTAAATACACGAAAACCTGAGCCAAAGGATTTTCTTCTTAAAATTGCCTGTGAAAAGATGTAACAATTGACAGAGACTTCAGATACTGAGCTTTTAGGATCATGTGAATCAATGAAACCAAATGGCAAGGGTTGCCTCTGATCTCCAAAAACATGTTTTTATTAGGTGCCAAAACCAGTATGTTTACGCTCAATTCTTTAGTTTATAGACAGGCCCTAGACTTCTGTATGCATATATTTTCTGTGAAAACAATTCCTTGTTTAAAAGGAATTTGTTTAATTTGTTTAATTTGCTTAATTTAAACAATTCCTTGTTTAAAAGGGTCTGTCTGTTTAAAAGCCTGAATGATAGCCTGATTATATTTAGCAGGAGCATCTGGTTGCCAGGTAAGACTAGAAAATGCCTCCAACTCAATGGCATCTGCATGAAACCTTCAGCACCTTGTGGAAGTCCTTGATCAGTGCTGGAGGCTCTGCAGAGCTCATGGCCAATAGATTTG